GTAACAGAGCCAGTGAGAGGGGGAGAACCAGGTACAGAGACAGGGAAGGGAAAATGAGGTGGAAGATGGGTAGGAGGTGTTAACGGGCCTTTTTTTTTACTTTTTGAGAAGTAGAGGGACGATTGGGAGGAGGTGTCATACGAGATTTTCGTCGCTACTGAGGCTTGTGAGAGAGAACACAAGAAGCGGGGATCAGACCGAGACGTTGAAGTAGGGACGCTGAGCCGAGGACAGCAAAAGAATTAGCTACAGGAGTGACTATGGGAGAGGTAACCACAGAGGTGGGTGCAGAAGATGGGATACCAGAAGTGGGGGGAAAGTGTTGAAACACGGGAATAAGAAACACGAGGTAGCTCCCTTGGAGGCGGAGATGAGAACTGCCATGGCATAAGGGAGACCTTCTGCCTCTTTTAGGTAACGGATTTCCCACTCGTTTAAGTAGACTTGACAACGGCGAGAGTACGAAGGGTGAGCCCCATGACAAATTTAAGGCAAGAGGGAGGTCGATTGCAAGGCGTATTAGAATGGTCATCGGCACCACAGACTGGGCATTCGGCGATAGATCTGCAATATTTCGCTGGATGGCCAAATCGCCAGCAATTTCTACACTGTTGCGGTGTAGGGATCACCTTTCGAACTTGTAACCGATGTCCTGCTACATAAACTGAGGATGGGAGTTCACGGCTGTCAAAAGTTAAACGAGCCACATTGCTAGGGTATCGTCTCCGCCCGCGGGCAGGAAGAACATAGTGTCTACCTTGAGGACTGGGAGATCTTGGAGTTCCAGCTGTTCAAAAATGTCGGTGCCACATGTCTGGAAATTTTGTTGAACTATGGTATGGGGCAGAATGACGGTACCACTACAAGAATTGAGGGAATGATGCTTTTCAATAGTGACAGGAACAGTATCGCTATGGGAAAGACGAGAAAGCTCAAGAGCCTGGGTAGCATTCTGTACGGTGATGATGCGCGTACCGCTCTTAAGAGCATGAAAAGAAATATCTTTACCAACATGGCGTAGGAGTGCCTTGCCAATACTGTGGTCAGAAAGATAGGCAGTAGAGGAAGTCGGTCGTAAAGTGAAGAATTTAGTCCATTGTGCAGTCTGAAACTGAGCGTGGAAAGGTAGTGAAGGACGTGTCGATCTTTTTTGAGAAGAACGAGAAGGTGGAGGAGTATCATCAGCAGGTAATTGTCGTTGGCGTTGGACCAGAGTTGGTCCGACGTGGAACGGGCCGGCGATTCGAAAATTGCCGCACCGTAGAGGGAGAGGCCGGAAGCATAGTCAGAGGAGAGCGAAGGTCAGATAAATCTAAGGAGTGAGTCGAGGCCTCAGTACCTGAAGCGGGTGAGGAAACAGCACAGGCAAGAGGTACAGAGGCATGAGGAGTGTCCGAAGAGTGGTCCAAAGACGAGGCGGGGTCAGAACGGGGTGCAGTATCAAGAAGGGGCCCGGGGGTAGCAGGTTCATGGACTAAGGCTGCCATGGTTAGGTTACTTCTTTGTTTTTGTTTTTAAGAAAAAAAAATAAAAATAAAATAAAAATAAAATAAAAATAAAATAAAAATAAAATAAAAAAAGAATAAAAAAAAAAAGGGGGGACCGGGGAGGGATAGTTCCTAGGAGGAAAGAAAGGGCCAGAAATCTCCCTCCGCGCCCAAGAGGACCTCAGCACCGCAAGTAGCGCAGATGCAGCATGGAACCCGTGCCATACCCTACCCATCATGCCAGTAAACCGGCAATCCGGGATAGCAACCTCACACCTGCCGAGCTACCTCGGTGGACAAAAGAGAGGGTGGCCGGAAATCCGCCACAAAGCATACCTCCTTCAGCCACCACCCCCGGAATCCAAAAGGTGGCTTCCAGAGATACACCCAAAGCCACCCTCCGGGATACCGGAGAGGGATCAGGACATCCCCAGGCAATCCAGATTCCACGGCAAACTACGCCACCGCCAAGAACCTTAACGGAATGGGATGGACCCCAGTACCCTTTCCCCTACCTAGGAACTAGCATGCTGTGGAGAAAAAAAAAAAAAAAAAAAAAAAAAAAAAAAAAAAAAAAAAAAAAAAAAAAAAAAAAAAAACAGCCAAAAAGGAAGGGCAAAAGGGAGGGGTGGGGAGGAGGAGGAGGAAAGGAAAAAAGGGAGGATGGGATAGGGAACGGGGGATTGGGGGGGTAATTAGGTTCGGTCTGAGGAAGTAGACCGACAGGTCTAATTCCTCAGACCGAGAGCCTCTTCACCACGCCAAGGAGCCCCCCTTGAAGAGGCAGGGTGACCTAAAAAGAAAAAAAAAAAAAAAAAAAAAAACTTTCATCATTCAACACTTGCACCATCACTCATACATAATCACTGTAATGCAGAGGCACTCAGATACGAGTTTAAATGTCCCTCCAAACTGCTTGAAAAGTTGCAAGAATATTGGCTGAATATCTGCAGTAAGTGCACATCACAGCTCTGCCTCTAAATTGGCATCAACAATCCATGCTCTGCATTTATATTCATGGGAAAGCAAAAGACTATAGGGATGATACAGTGCCTTGGGAATGGGAGGTAATCAGGTTTGATCCAAGGACATTAAAGGGCAGCTCAAATTCCTTTAGTCAAGAGCACATCACTAAGGCACAATGTTGAAGGAGATACAGTGGACCCTCGACCAACGATGCGATTAACGATAAATCAGACTAGCGATACATTTTAATGCAAAATTTTTGCCTCGACTAGCACTAAAAAACTCGACCAACACTATTTGTTTTGTCAGACGCGTCCACTTCTGGCCAGTGTTTACAAGCCAGCCAGCCACCGCGGTCGCTTCCAAGCATACAATCGGAACATTTCATGTTATCACAGCCTTTTTAGTGATTGCACCTGCAAAATAAGTCACCATGAGCCCCAAGAAATCTTCTAGTGCCAACCCTACAGCAAAAAGGGTGAGAATTACTATGGATATGAAGAAAGAGATCATTGCTAAGTATGAAAGTGGAGTGCGTGTCTCTGAGCTGGCCAGGTTGTACACAAAACCCCAATCAACCATTGCTACTATTGTGGCCAAGAAAACGGCAATCAAGGAAGCTGTTCTTGCCAAAGGTGCAACTATGTTTTCGAAACTGAAATCGCAAGTACTCGAAGATGAGAGACTGTTATTGGTGTGGATAAACGAAAAACAGATAGCAGGAGATAGCATCTCTGAAGCGATCATATGTGAAAAGGCTAGGAAGTTGCATGACGATTTAATGAAAAAAATGCCAGCAACTAGTGGTGATGCGAGTGAATTTAAGGCCAGCAAAGGTTGGTTTGAGAGATTTAAAGGGAAGGGAAGTAACCCCGGAAAAGGACTTGCCACCTCAAGTCCTAATGGAAGGGGATTCCCCTTCCAAACACTAAGACCATCAACACTCTCCCCTCCTCCCATCCCAACAATCATCACCATATCTTCAATAAAGGTAAGTGTCATGTAACTGTGCATGTCTTCTTCAGTTTGTGTGTATTAAAATTAATATTTCTTGTGGTAAAATTTTTTTTTTTCATACTTTGGGGTGTCCTACACGGATTAATTTGATTTCCATTATTTCTTATGGGGAAAATTAACTTGACTAACGATAATTTTGACTAACGATGAGCTCTCAGGAACGGATTAATAGCGTTAGTCGAGGGTCCACTGTAAATCCATATAGATCATATATTTTGGCTGTTTGGAGTGACATCTGAACTGCCATATGGGTGCTTCTGCAAAAACAGTGATTTGTGTGAATGATGGTGAAAGTTTCTTTTTTGGGTCACCCTGCCATGGTGGGAGATGGCCAACCTGCTGAAAAAAATAATTACATTCACAAGAGCACTAAACCCACAAGGGTCACACAGAGGCTCGGGAAATGGGTGGCAATCAGGTCAATCCAAGGAAGGGAAGGTCAGACCCAAGTCATAGTATCAAGTATTATAATCAAGCACTAAACCTGAGAAGGCCATACAGTACTGTCCTAGTATCAAAGCCCACCACTGGTATCAAGGAACTTTCCTCGAGGGGAGACAAATCTCTAGTCCTACCACCAATATGCCTAAAAGTTACAGAACTCATTTTTCTGACATCAGACTTGGAAGGTTCATCTCTATTATAAGACACCGGTGTGGAATTTTTATATTAGTAAAGTCAAAGCATGCTTACTGATTAAGCTAAATTAAAGAAACAGATCACTTCCTGCTGTTTACAGAATGCATGACAGTCATAAAATCTGCTCACCATATGGTATTACAATGTATGTGCATATATTATAGACGATTGATCTGCTAAATTTGCATGAATACACATTAGAATGACTATTTAGGAATGTACTGCATATCAAAATGTATATAGCATGTTTAACTTGCATAGTCCAGCAGGCAGATGTCACATCTAAGATTGCTAGGTGGAAGCAAGGGCATTTTCTATAGCTTATAAAAGTCTGTAGATACTAAAGTTGTTGAAAATGTCAGAGAGGAGGCAGACAAAAAGACTGAGCATCATGTCAACAAATATAGCAGTACATGATGACATACATCAGAGTAATGACCTGTGGTTAGTGTGTGACCAGGCCTTGGCAAATAACATGGCAAAGCAGGTGACAGTCAGCCAAGCCACTGTAGGGTGAGAAAAGGTGAGCGATGTACAGGAAAACTAGCTGTGTGTAATGTACAGTGATGCTACACTGTGTTGTGTATTTGGTGCTCTGCAAGGCTTGTGAAGGATGGTGTACAATGAAGACAGTGATTTTGTGCCAAAGGCAGTGAAGCTGAGATATATTAATTGTTAGTTACAGAGAACAAGTGTTGTGCAAGAATATTCAGTGCTGAGAAAATGGCATTAAGGTGTTATAATTGAATGTGAAGTTGATTAATCTGAATAGAAACCTTATCTGGTAAATATACTCTAAAGTATTTAACAGACTTATGGAAGGGGAAAATATGTTCATCATGTATTGAAATTTTTGAAATGATAAAGCAACATCACTAGGAGAGTAAAATATTATTATTCTTTATTTTTTATTAACATACTGATGACTTTGTACATGTGAACTATTATTAAATGGAAATGTCGTTTCATTTTTTATTTAATGTAATTTCTTGCTGCTTAGAAGATGAACAGCATCTGTAAAAAAAAAAAAAAAATCAAATGGTGACTAACCTAAGTCTTAATCAATGGATCCATTTTTAACAAACAAATGCCTAAGGAAAAATATTTTAAAACTTACTTTATCTATATACATTTACAAGTTTCCCCTCACTTTATGTGATGCTCCATTTCTATTTGTAATTCTGTACATGTGCCATACATTCACTGTATGTGATCAGTGCAATTTGCAAGGTAAACTGAAGATTCACATTAGGCAGGATTAAGTGTTGATTGAGCTGCCATGGGCCTGCAATGTATTTATCACATAAAACACACTTTGACACCTGTTTATTGAAATCTTTGATGCCTTTTTCTTTTTCACAGCCAGGGACCAAAAAACCAGGCTAGCATCATGAGAGATATGACTCACCACTTAGGAGTTGATATCTTATTTCTATTGTGAGCTTGTCTTTACAAAAAAAATGTTTAAGAAAGGATAATACCCCATTTAATAACACTGCCATGTGCGATCTTTCAATAAAGGACCTGAATCGCTGGGAAATTCATCTGGTATACAACACACTTCATTCCAACACAGCTATTGAAGTGGCCTGCCCTACTAAACTTGAACAGCTAATAAAAATCCAAGAAACCCAAGCCTATGTTAGTGATTATCTATTATTCTGTAAATAGCACTAAACAGTACTGTAATTTTGAAGTACACCTTGTGAAGTACTCGATAAATTGGTTAAATAAAGTAGACCAATCTACTAGAAATATCGTAACTTCTTAATGATCAGATGTTTCTCCACTCTTACATACCTGAAGGAAGGAGAAGAATCATTGTGATTACTCGTCAGTTTTAAACTTGCCACTATAGAAAGGAATATATTGGACGATTACTTTCCAGTCTGTAAGATAAAGACCAAGTGCTGCGGCTCCAGCTCCAAATAACGTTGCTGAGGGTATCCTGAAACATTAAAAATACCCATAATAATAATAATAATAATAATAATAATAATAATAATAATAATATAATAATTTTTACAAGCACGTGATACAAACCTAGCTGGCATACTATACAGAAAGCCCCTGGTTATGCACAGCATTTCGGGCAACTTGGGTCAATTTTGTCAACCAGGATGTGACCCGCAACAGTTGGCTAACAACCGGGTACCTACTACTACTAGGTGATACACAAATAACCCGCACATAAAAGAGAAGCTTACGACGACGTTTCGGTCCGACTTGGACCATTGACATTAACTACTAGGTGAACAGGGGCAGCAGGCATTAAGGAAACATACCAAACTCTTCACCCATTCTGAAGATCAAGCCCAGAGCCTCAGTGTAAGCAGAGGATGCTACCAAGCCACAAGCCAGTTTCTCACAAAGAAGTCCCTTTCTCAGATTCTTTTCCAGTACACTCGACACCTTAGAAGTTGCTGACAACAATGCTAGCTCGAGTTAAGAGCACAATAAATTGTTTTCTATCAAACTGTAATGGGGTTCCTGGCTATTTTCCCCACTTGACCTTTCGGTCCTCTGTGAGGACCAAAATGTCAAGTTATAAATTCACTGCATCTTAAACTGTATCTACAGCACACCAATGAACTCCATGAACTAACCACCTCACCGAAAGGCTCACCTTTAATGCAGGCTCACCCTGACATTTTAACAGAAACTAACGTATTGCATTAACCCCTATTGTTACACATGCCACACTGTAATGCTGTTTACTCAATGGTTTAGCAATATTTTGTAAATACATACAATAATAATAATAATAATAATAATAATAATAATGATGTAGTTTTAATGTAGCATTAGTGGTGCAATAAACAGCCAAACATATGACATATGCTCCACTGATCTGCTGGCCCACAGCCCTTCTCTTTATTACTGAATTATAATTATAAATAAATGCTAAACCCAAAAGGGTCATGAAAGTACCTAGAGAATGGGGGGGGGGGGAATAATCAGGTATAATCCAAGGAAGGGGAGGGGAAACTCCAATTTCTTGGATTAAGATTCTGTCAACAGAATCATGACCAGGGCAGGATAAAGCTTTGGGCTAGCCAGGCATCTCTGTAGAGTGCTAAGCTGTAAGGGCACTAAATACATTAAAGCCAGATAAAAAGGTATTATTACACCCAAAAGAAAATCAGTGTTATCTACCTCTACTCTGGAAGTACTGAGCAAATATTTCAAAGAACAATAATGGCCTGTAAGGGCACCAAAATGCAAGTCTGCTGAGGGTCCTTAAAATTTCTCAATGTCTGGCCAAAGCAACCCTTTTCTGGATTATTGCTACATTCATGAGTGCTAAACCCACAGGAGTTACACAGTTCTTCTTATTAATACAAATTTTCATTATCCTAGCTGCATAACAATATAGGAGAAATAATTAATAGAACCCTAGGTTGTATTAGGGATTTTTGTTAAGATAAGATTTCGTTCGGATTTTTAACCCCGGAGGGTTAGCCACCCAGGATAACCCAAGAAAGTCAGTGCGTCATCGAGGACTGTCTAACTTATTTCCATTGGGGTCCTCAATATTGTCCCCCAGGATGCGACCCACACCAGTCAACTAACACCCAGGTACCTATTTACTGCTAGGTGAACAGGACAACAGGTGTAAGGAAACGTGTCGAAATGTTTCCACCCGCCGGGAATCGAACCCGGGCCCTCCGTGTGTGAAGCGGGAGCTTTAGCCACCAGGCCACCATGTGCCAGCATATTTAGAATGATTTCTACTTGGTGGCTACTCATTTTTTCCTATTTCCAGGCCCATTAATTGCTCACCACTTCTGCAGTTACCATAGTAAAGTTAATGGAATAAAAAAAAAAAAATTACCCCAAAATAATCACATATTACACTTCTTGTATTGGTAATTTCGCACTTTTTTTTAGCCTTTTATTTTATAAAAAATAGTTCAGCGACCATTCTTATTCAATACATAATAAAGGCAGTGGACAGCACTATTGCCACAGCTGAGAGTGAAGGTCAGTCTAGGTGACTTGGTTGGTAGTGTCCTCGGCATGCACACTGAGGATCTGGAATCAATCCCCAACATGGGTGGTGAAATGTTGGGTATGTCCCTTACACCTGCTGCCCCTATTCACCTAGCAGTAAGTAGGTTCCTGAATGCTAGCAAATCACTGTAGGCTGCAAATTAGGGAATAAGATTAAAGAGTCCTAATGGAAATACAAGACAATCCCTGATGACACTGACTTTACCCAAAAATCACTCCCTACGAAAGTAAAAGACTGGGCAGGTGATGCAAAATACCCCCAATTAAAAGTAGGGGCGCCACTGGTACACTAAGAGAAAGCACCGTAAGTGCCCGGGGCCCAAGACTGTTCAACAGCCTCCCATCAAGCATTAGGGGAATTGCCAATAAACCCCTGGCTGCCTTCAAGAGAGCTGGACAGATACCTAAAGTCAGTGCCGGATCAGCCGGGCTGTGGCTCATACACTGGACTGTGTGCGGCCAGCAGTAAAAGCCTGGTTGATCAGGCCCTGATCCACCGGGAGGCCTGGTCATGGACCGGGCCGCGGGGGCGTTGATCCCCGGAATAACCTCCAGGTAATCCAGATGACCCGCACTCAAAAGAACAAAGAACAAAAGAACCTCCAGGATAACCTGGAGGGTTATCTTGGGTGGATAAGCCACCAGGTTAAAACTAACAAAAATCTTATTTTATCCAGAGAGTATGCACTAAACTTAAAAGCTTAATTTGACCAGCATCATACAAGTAATTAGTATTTATAAATGCATCATGTAATATAGTTATTCAATATATACAAGTGACTTATGATGCCTTAACCTAGAATGTCCTTACAATATCTCATGGTTTTAATAACATTAGTGTTTAAACTTGTGTTCCACTAAGTTCAATTAAGTGTTACTTGCCTTGCACTTATTTAGGCACAGGTACACACAAATACAACTATCATACATAGTAACATGTATAAATCACCTAGGAAAACCCAAAAAGTCAAAATGACTGATTTCCACTCTACAGTGGACCCCAATGGAAATAAATCACTGACTTTTTTGGGTTATCTTAAGTAATCTACGCATATGCTGCTATGTATGATAATTAAGTGTATTTATATGTACCATTGATTAATACCTGGTTGGCTGATTTAGATAAGATCACCTTTATGTAGGTTACACAGTAAAAATGTTTTTGCATTAAACACAATTAAATGAAGACAAATACAAATTGTGAAAATTTTGACTGAGGAAGGCTTGCGCTTGATGCCGGTGAGGCTCTTGATTTGAGGAATTGGAGCAAACACTCTCATTCCTTGAATCAAACCCTTTTATTGCGTATTCTCCCAAGCGCCGCACAACTCCTCAGGGTTTAGCGTTTCCCCACGATTTTAATAACCTAAAAACCACCAAACAAAAACCGAACAGTAAAATACCACTGATAAAACAAAATACACAATATTGCAGGATATATATATATATACAGGGTGTTATTATATAACACAAGAGTCACTTACCATTGCTGTATCTGTTGAGCTTGTCGCCTCCCAATGGGAATTTTAGATAGAACTTTCCCAAGCATTTTTAACAGCCAACAACAGCAGCAGCAGCAGCAGACAACCAGAACAGCTGACACCACCACCGGTCATAACCTACTAGTATTATTATTATTATAATAATAATTATTATATAACAATAATAGTATAATAAAATAAAATAATAATTATGATGATTTTGTTTAGGTATAATTACATAATTAGGTGATCTTAATGGAAATAAGTCACTTTGACTTTTTTTTTTTTTTTGGGTTGTTCTAGGCGGTTTACAAATGTATGATAATTGTACTTGTGTGTATGTGTATCTGAGTTAATCTACTATATTAACCACTCTTATTTTGTCTAGATTTAAGTAGTTGTTATGTGCTAGGATTAGTCTGCCAGAAATACCCCGCCATGATAGTGGATTTCTTTGTACTTAATAAACCAAAATTATAATTAGACATTGCAACCTTTGCAAAGAAATATAATCTTTCATCTTTTATTCATTTTACTTACTTATAATTGTCTTACATTGTAACATATGTGTAAATTACCTGTTATGCAGATCCAGTCTTTATGTGAGTCTGGCTAAAATTTATTCTTAAAAATGTCCAATATCAGGTTAGTTTTGACATATTGTTTTATGTTGTGCAGATGTAAGAAATTTGATCTAATCTAACAAAACCCAACCTTAATTATTTGCTAATTATTTACTTAATTATTTACTAAATACTCGATATTTAAGCTTATGGAGGCGAATTTCCCCACAGTGACCACACAGTTTTTTTAACCTATGATCATAAATCGGGTTTAATACAATGCGCAGACTTTTGGGCAGGAAGAGACGTATGGTCAAGTCTCCTAAATAAATAAATAAAAAAAAAAAACAGGCCTAGTGTCTAACCGACATGTGCCTAGAACAAATGGTAACCCCCCCCAAAAAATGGTAACCTGCTTGCCCCCCCCCTACTATTGCCTTCAGTCAATAGGTACCTAGTGGTTGACTTTGTGGGTTGCATCCTGGAGATGGAATCAAAAAATCCTAGTGGACATAAGCCACACTTTTTGGTTGTCTTGGATTACAATGGATTATTAATCCTCCGGGTGTACTAATCTTAAAATAAAGTCTACGTCCAAATATTACACTTAGACAATATTCAATATCAGAATCTTGATAAAGGTAATTTTAGCTTAACATGAAAAATAAACTCAGTATGGCGTGAAAGCTCCTTGACACAGATATACCCATATATGGATGATATACATTTAAGATCAATTATTTATACACTTTATCTTATCACTAGTAAAATATAACTGGTGTTAGTCATATGTGTACCCCGAATCTGGGGAAATTAAAACCCAATGGAAATAAGTAGAATCCTCGATGGCACTGCTTTCTTGGGTATCTGGGGGTAACCCTCGACGTTTAAAAATCCCCGAGCGTCTGATCCAGCTCATCATGTCATACTCATTAATCAGTATATTACTATATGCACGAACCATCATTTAAGAACATATACGTATATGTTAGTACCGAATGTGGTTGATAATTAACAACAGCTGCACTAGCAAGGAGTTCTAACCAGTGAGTTTCCGCCCAGTGGCTGAACACGCCATACTTAGGACACTGAGCGGGGATGACCAGTCCTCGTTGATCGATGTTCAGGTCATACTTTCGACTTGTACCCGATTAACAACGACTCAAGCCTGAGCTGGTAGTACTGACTTTCAAGTCCTGTTTCAGTTCCTTCTTAAAACGCCTGAAGGCCACTAGTTGTGAAACCCCTTTGTCTCAATAGGAGATGAAGAGTTTGGCCGTGTAATTTTCAATTCGTGTATGCTGACCCTATCTTTAAAACTGCGTTAAGTGCCTGTCCAGTGCCTTCTTGAAAACAGCCAGGGGTCTATTGATAATCCCCTTTATGTATGCTGGGAGGCAGTTGAAGAGTCTTGGGCCCTTTACATTGTGTTGGATCATCGTGCTAGTGGCGCCCCTACTTTTCAATGGGGGGGGGATGTTAAAATATTTACGATAAAACTTAATTTGCAATTCCAATAGTTTGGCCCACATGGTTAGTGTGTGATTCACTGGACACGTATCCACAACCTACAGTTTTACGAAGCAACAGATCAGCATAAAACGGAAGAGAGAATAGGGCTCTGGCATGCCGTTAAAAATAAAACTGTCATTTGTATACCATTACCAGAGAAAGTCTCGTTTAATATATTAAAGGTGACACAGAAAATGCGATTCTAATTCTATAAAGCTTTCTCTGACCTTTGTTAATGGGAAAGACATAACTCGGCTTGAGAATGTTCTGGTGGTTTTCTTTCTTTCTTTCCTTCTTCCTCGCCTCCTCCTCCTCCTGATTCTTTTAATGTCATTAATGGTTAAAATCGTAACCATAATTTTTAAAGGGGTGGAGGGATAAGCAAGGGAAAGGCCTCGGTCAGATGACCAAAAGCTCCAGCTGTGGGTCATCATATGACTAAGACCCGCGTCAGGAAACACTCGTCCTGTTTCCTGACAAAACCTTACCTAACCAAGACATTAATTAACTCTAGTTTTTACAATCCTTCACACAAAACTTAACACAGGGATGCGATGTTACTTTAAAATATAAACATCTCATCAAGGGATTTAGCTTTTTATTAATTTAAGAAGCTTTAAATAAAATTAATTGAATAATCAATAAGAGATTGAAAATCCTTTAGGCCCATGCTAGGAGGCGTCTTCAGAAAGCCTTTAGGCTACAGATTTAACAGGCTGGTCTCAGACCGGGCCGCGGGGGCGTTGACCCCCGAAACCCTCTCCAGGTAAACCCCAGGTACATTTACAAGTGACCAGTTATTCTCGCAGCACAAGGCTTTGCTTCCAGACCGCAGACTCGAGGGACAAGCTTGCTACGGGAAAGTCTACTGGAAAGACCTACATGAGGTAGACTGCTGGGAAGACCTACATGAGGGTAGACTGCTGGGAAGACCTACATGAGGGTAGACTGCTGGGAAGACCTACATGTGGGTAGACTGCTGGGAAGACCTAGCCAGAGGGCAGTCAGAAGGAATACGAGCACAGGGAATTTAAAAGAGTAAGATTATCATCTGAATTAACCTGGGGAAGCAGTAGCTACGCCGAATGAATGGAACCCGTCACAGGCCTCCACAGTCACTGTGCAAGAGAAGCATCGTAACTTCTAGCAGACAACTGAGCGCTAGAACTGGTCTTGAGATTAAGTAGTGGTAAAGCAGGGTTAAATACTCACTAGAGAGGCATTACGAGAGAACGATGGCCTTATTCCTACCTCACAGCATGACTGACTGCTAGAGCAGCGCGTTCCTCTAACAATTAAGGGGACGGAGGATCGAGTCTCTAATACTCTTTGCGCTGAATAACCCTAACGGGTTTACCGTCTCATATAAATATATATTTTAGGTTATTTTTAGTGCTTATTACTATATACAACTCCTACTACTATTACACGGGCGAACTGCTATTTATATTCCCTAACAAAATAATTATAATCAATATATTCAATCCTTGAGAGTCGAGACTGTTATTTAGGAGTTTACACATCGTAAACGAGTCATTCATGGACTTACACAGGCGGGATAGTCTTTGTTTTTAATTGCATTTCCAGAATCTTATACTGAGTCGTAGTATGAGATCCTTCAGGGAGTCTTACACAGGGTCGTGGCACGAGGTCCTTCATGGAGTCTTACACAGGGTCGTGGCATGAGGTCCTTCAGGGAGTCTTACACAGGGTCGTGGCATGAGGTCCTTCAGGGAGTCTTATACAGGGTCGTGGCACGAGGTCCTTCAGGGAGTCTTATACAGGGTCGTGGCATGAGGTCCTTCAGGGAGTCTTACACAGGGTCGTGGCATGAGGTCCTTCAGGGAGTCTTACACAGGGTCGTGGCATGAGGTCCTTCAGAGAGTCTTATACAGGGTCGTGGCACGAGGTCCTTCAGGGAGTCTTATACAGGGTCGTGGCATGAGGTCCTTCAGGGAGTCTTACACAGGGTCGTGGCATGAGGTCCTTCAGGGAGTCTTACACAGGGTCGTGGCATGAGGTCCTTCAGGGAGTCTTACACAGGGTCGTGGCATGAGGTCCTTCAGGAGTCTTACACAGGGTCGTGGCATGAGGTCCTTCAGGGAGTCTTACACAGGGTCGTGGCATGAGGTCCTTCATGGAGTCTTACACAGGGTCGTGGCATGAGGTCCTTCATGGAGTCTTACACAGGGTCGTGGCACGAGGTCCTTCATGGAGTCTTACACAGGGTCGTGGCATGAGGTCCTTCAGGGAGTCTTATACTTCACCGTCATCACGTCCGTGGTAAGCCTAGTATGGCATGTCCTTGGCTCTATGTTGACATGTTGCCTTGCCCGCTGCCACCCACAACAGCTGGCTAACAACCAGGCACTTGAACATCAAAATGGTATAAAATACGGACAGGTTGTTAGGTAAGACACATATGCAACAGTTAGGTATCTTTATTTCGAAACGTTTCGCCTACACAGTAGGCTTCTTCAGTCGAGTGCAGAAAAGTTGATAGAAGCAGAAGAGACTTGAAGACGATGTAATCAGTCCATCACCCTTAAAGTTTTGAGGTGGTCAGTCCCTCAGTCTGGAGAAGAGCATTGTTCCGTAGTCTGAAACAATATTTGAAACATATTGTTTCAGACTACGGAACAATGCTCTTCTCCAGACTGAGGGACTGACCACCTCAAAACTTTAAGGGTGATGGACTGATTACATCGTCTTCAAGTCTCTTCTGCTTCTATCAACTTTTCTGTACTCGACTGAAGAAGCCTACTGTGTAGGCGAAACGTTTCGAAATAAAGATACCTAACTGTTGCATATGTGTCTTACCTAACAACCAGGCACTTATTGACTATTAGGTGAACAGGGACAGCAGCAGGTATAAAAAAATGAATTTATCTTAATGGTATACAATAACAAAATAAAGATATCCAGGAGCTGCATATGTGTCCAATTCGATAAAAAAAATGACTTGCCCAGGTATGCTCCCACACGTTTCGTCTATTTCAACGATCGAACGCTGAACCTTTCTGTTGTAAACCGAACGCTCCGACCACTGGCCTCTCAAGGAGAGTTCCTTGATGCTGGTGAAGGGCTCTTGATCCCAAAACCAAGAATTACTTGCACAAAAGGAGGTTACAGCACACAGTACAGTGCAGGGATCTCCAACTCTCGGCCCTTCTAGGAAATTGATGCGGCCCTCACATGAAATTACGAATTCACTTTCATATAGGTTCCACACTGCAGTGTCAACAATTGCAAAATATTTAAAGCCATTTTGCACTAAAATGTTATCGCCACTTCTAACAACCATCTTTCACTTCTAGTCAGTGCTGGTTTATAATTGTTATAAATTGTTTTTCTATATATTTAAATTTCTAGGTGTTAGGAACGAAATACTCAAAGTACTCATGTGCTCAACCCTTTGTGATTGCGCGATTAGTGACAATAACTATATGTTCAGTATTGAATTACGGCTAGCTATAGGTATAATATATTTAATGTTGATCATTACAAAATGCTGCCCTCCTTAAAATTTGGATTTTCAGATTGGCCCTTTCATACTAAAAGGCTGGGGAGTGGTGGTGGTGAATGTGATAAATTCTGTCGCGAAGACTGGCTGAGACCTTCAGACGCCTTCAGAAACATCAATATGCCTAAATGAGGGATAAAAACAACTGAGCATGCGTAGTTCGTCGCAACCTTCATTTTTCTGACCATGAACCGGGGAAGAACATAACAGATGAACCACGAGAACCACAGGATGAGACGCAGGATTTTGGAAGCATCAGTGATCCACCTCACCATTATTACTGAGTAAAACATTGCACGTGGATGGATATTGAAAACCTCCAAAACTAGGGATACCAAGCCCATGATGACACTCTTCAGGTCGCTTGTTCTATCTAGGCTGGAATATTGCTGCACATAACAGCACCTTTCAAGGCAGGTGAAATTGCTAACCTAGAAAATGTACAGAGAACCTTCACGGCGCGCATAACGGAGATAAAACACCTCAATTATTGGGAGCGCTTGAAGTTCCTGAACCTGTATTCCCTGGAACGCAGGCGGGAGATACATGATTATATACACCTGGAAAATCCTAGAGGACTAGTACCAAACTTACACACGAAAATCATTCTCTCCGAAAGCAAAAGACTCGGCAGACGATGCAACATCCCCCCAATGAAAAGCAGGGGTGTCACTAGCACGCTAAGAGACAACACAATAAATGTCAGGGGCTCAAGACTGTTCAACTGCCTCCCAGCATACATAAGGGGGATTACCAATAGACCCCTGGGTGTCTTCAAGCAGGCACTGGACAAGCACCTAAAGTCGGTACCTGACCAGCCGGGCTGTGGCTCGTACGTTGGATTGCGTGCAGCCAGCAGTAACAGCTTAGTTGATCAGGCCCTGATCCACCATGAGGCCTGGTCACAGACCGGGCCAGCGGGGGCGTTGACCCCCGGAACTCTCTCCAGGTAAACTCCAGGTAATATACATGTTGGCTGGAGCAATTGACCACATCGTTCGTGATTCATATAATAAATATAATAATGTGACACCTGAGCCCCACTCCCAGCTCTCACTGATACCTGACACCTTACTCCTACCCCTCCTAATCTCACTAATACCCGACACCTTAACCCCATCTCCTCTCACTAATACACCTTAAGCTCACGCGCAGCTTTAACTAATACCTGACACCTTAGCCCCCATCCACTGTTTTCATTATCTGACACTTTAGCCCCATCAGGGTGCTCTCACTAACACCTGACCTCGCCTATACTCGACGTCACATTGTCAAGACTTGTCTTCCTCAGTGTCTGACCTCAAGGTGATCGTGTATCTTATAAGGCGGTGTATTTACTTGTTCCTGAGCGCCTGATAAAGCAGAGCCTCTGGTGAAATGCATTGTTATAATGGTTGTTTGTTACCAGTGTCATTATTTACATATATACACAGACATGCATGCACTTCACAGTGTGTATATCCTCGGCTCGCGCAGCGATCGAAACATCTAGTTGCAGCCAGTCTCTTACAGTTCAAAACAGCCCAGTGCATAATTTAGTGTCATTTTTGCGACAAGCGTCGCCCAAGCTGAACTGACATTAACATTTCTCATGGGTGTCTTTTTTTTTTTTTTTTTGAGCCACTAGAACCCGTTACTGCATTGTTGTTTGAATATTAAGTTGTTTATCTGTCCACCACAACACTCAGTCCGATCATCTGTGTCCTTCCACTTTTTCTGTCCGCCCTTACGATTTTTTTTGTACGTAGGTACGTCCGTCCATCTGTGCCCGTCCAAATGTGCCCGTCCAAATGTGCCCGTCCAAATGTGCCTGTCCATCTGTGCCCGTTCATCTGTGCCCGTTCATCTGTGCCCGTTCATCTGTGCCCGTTCATCTGTGACCGTCCATTTGTGACCGTCCATCTGTGCCCGTTCATCTGTGGCCGTCCATCTGTGACCGTCCATCTGTGACCGTCCATCTGTGCCCCTTACAGTTGTGCACGTCCAATTGTCCGCTCGTCCAACTGCATCCTTCAACTGTACACCCGTCCACCGGTCTTTAATATTTAGCTTCCGTCAATAACATCAGATGATACTATACTTAGGTCAGTGATTGACTAAACCTTAACGAAACCCACAGCAAAAGAGACAACAAAGGCAACAAAAACAACCAAAAGGAAAACATTACCACCATCGCTAAGTGAAAGTGTCATGCTTTTGCGGAAATACCATAGTTTTATAATATATACGGAATAAGTCGTCGTAGTCCTTAAAAAGCAACAACAACAAAGTATGTCACTAGGAGTGCCCGACCTGCGGACTCTTGCTGCATCTTGACTCAGGCCTCCAGGGACTCAGACTTCAAATAACTTCTACTTCTATCCGGGTCAGCGGGTTCAATGGCCGTGCACACTGTGCAATAAATAATGAGTACCGCTTGCGACCGTTTTGTGAAACTTGCTTGTGTCTTTCTGATAAATATCCTCCCCTCTCTCTCGCGTCCCTCTAACGAACCCTCACCTGTGAACCGAAAACTATGCTTCATTGAGCTTCTATAACGAAGCTTATCTTGTATTATTTGATTGAACTCTCCCCTATGAACCTCTAAATAACCGTCTCTTGTGAACCATGATGGAACCCTCACTTATGTCCCTCTAACGAACCTTCTCTAACATATTTTCTCCTGTGTCCCTCCAATGAATCCTCTTGTATGTTCCTCAAAAAAATATACTATTTAGGTCCTTCTAAAGAACCCTTTTAGGTCCATCTAAAGATTCCAGACTTTTGTTTCTTAAACTGGGAGAAAGAATGGGTGGAGGAAAGAAAAACTGAGGTCTGTTGGACGACAACAAAAATGTACAACAACTTCATCTATGAATTAAATCTGTCGACTTCACTGCAATAAAATCTTTACAGCTGCTCGGGGATCGACCCGTACCGGGTCGATCCCCGTACGGGTGGAAAAATTAGGACGTGTTTCCTTAAGACACCTGCTGTCCATGTTCACCTATGAGTAAAGTAGGTACCTGGGTGTTAGTCGACTGGCGTGGGTCGCATCTTGGGGACAAAACTGACCTAATTTTCGGGAAATGCTCTGAATAACAAGCAGCTTTCTATATAGTAGTATGTCATTGATGTCAACTATGGTCTGTATACCTTCTACATGTACTTGTAGAAATAAAGATTATCATTATAATTATTATTATTATTATTATATAACGTTCAGCTAACATGCGAAAGGACCCACGTTAGATTGCTAAATAGGTCAAGATCTTAGGGTAAGTCTTCTTACACTTGCTGCTCATGTTCACCTAGCAGTAAATAGGTACCTGGGTGGTAGTCGACTGTTATGGACTGTATCCTGAAGGAGGACGCTGCTACACTATGTCAAATAATCACCGTCTTCCGCCAAGATGACATTTACCGAAGGTCGCATTTCATAAACGCTGTTCAGAATGAGAATTATAATAATTATTTTCAAAATATTGTACCGAAATATATTGTAAATACCGACAAACTGTGTTTCCACCTCGTCGTCTTGACTTCCACCGAGGCTGAGGGAATAATTACCTCAGACGACTTTAATTTATCTCTATATTCAACTGATGAGGCCTGCAGCGCAGGCGAAACGTTTCATCAACAATGATACCAAGTGATGTAAATGGCTTAGAAAACTGACAAGTTGAAGAATGAGACACTTGTGCAACAAGTGAAATATATATTATTATTATTATTACTTGTGCAACAAGTGTCTTATTCTTCAAAAAATCTTAGTATTGCACATGTATCTTATTCATCCTAATACAAAAATAAATAATAAATAATTGGAAAGGCCATAATATGCACGTTAAACTTGTACTAGGCTTAGAACTTATGTATTAGTTACATAGCTCTGTTGCTTAATACTAGGTTTTAACATTAATTTACAGTGAATTGACAAGAATTAAAGTTACTAGAATGCAAAGTTAATATAACATGTCATATGAAGCGAGAGTAATATTTTGTGTCATCTGGAGAGTTTCTTATGCCATTATTTTTTTCTTCATCTTTGTCGTTTATGTATATTGTGAACAAGGGTCTAATACTGACCCTTGCGGACACCACCTGTGACTTTTTCCAGTCTGATTTCTCCCCATTTATTTAAACTGGTATCTGACTGGAATGACAATTTTGGTAATAATAATTATTTGACGCAGTAACCATTCTTGCCTATGACTACCATCACCTCGGTCTGCTGCTCCTCTACCATACCTCTTATCAAGTTGTAGTAACCATCCCTGGTGGTGACCAATGCTGCAAGTCCCAGGTAACCAAGCTGAAGGTCCCAACCTGGGACCGTAACCTCAGTCCGTTGTGTTGCTGATTTTGCCTGACTGTGACCACGCTACTGAGACCATTGCCTCCTTATATGTGACTTCACAATGATCCAAGACAGATCGAAACGTCGTAAAAGCTTCCTTTCATAATTGCGGGTCACTTGTGAATCACCTTCGTCTTCTGCACCGCTAGTATCGCCCTTATCGTGTTTTGGTAACCCTTCCTGGACACGACACTGCGACCATCACCTCCGTCGGTTGCGTCGCGACATTCACCCATACCACAGTTGATCACTGAGGCGGTGCAAGACTTGGCCACTGAGATGATAATGAACCTTGCAAGAATCTTGGGTGAGGTCTTGGCCTTAGGGTGAGGAGCGGCTCCACCGCTCTTCAGTCTTCTGGAGGCCACGGTCAAGGTAAGAACTCTGCTGTGGGGGTACATGGGGGAAGGTGGAGAGCTGAGGACCTCAAACTCTATACCGATGGTGGTGAGTGCGTTCTCTAGCTTTGGCTAGTTAGTAGTAGAGGCAAAATAAAAAGTTGGGTTGGGGACTCGCTCTAGCTAGAAAGATTTTTTTGGGGCAAGCAATGGTAGCATTATGGTCCATGATACAAAGGCGTGTAATAAATGTATTCATTGAAGAATAACCAATTAAATGTTATATAGTAAACCCTGAAGACGGGGCTTCAGATCATAGACGTGTAACTCACGGGACGGGACTCACTCACCATGGGTTCAGACCCCACCCGTTTCGTGGTTCGTTTGCAATCGTGTTACCACGATTTCGTGAGTCATTATCAATTCCACTTCCTTGACCATCAGAATACCAGGGCACAGACCACCGCCCACACGATGGGTAAAGATGCATAATAAAGTTATTAAGACTAAACTGCTGTACGGGTATAACTCAGCTCCTCCAGTTACAAATAGGTAATTACAGGCTGTCAGTAATATTATGAGGGTCCAATAGCCGCTGTGATGGTATTTTGTTCTTTTGAGATATGGGAAAATTCCGCGGCACGCGGATCTTTATCATATGATAACTCGTTCCTGGTTAATGGGTTCAGAGTATGGATTACTTGAAAATTATTTAGTCTACATATCACTCCTTGCAGTGTTTGGTCTTCCGCTCACTTAACAGTCTATGTAGCAAAAATAAAAAAATCTTAAGACGTTTTATGGGCGGATTACGTAAAGGTAAGACCAACACCACAGGTATTGTAACCCTGTTATTTGAGTATAGCGTTGAATGACCCTTACGGATATAGTGCTTTTCATGTATATAATAATAGGCACCATACTCGCTGTGAGGTGTATTGCCCACACAGATGGTACAGGGAAATGCACCGCCTGAACACATGAATCACGGTACACAAGTACACCAAAAAAGTGATGTATTCTTTTCATCAAATTTACGCAAGTCAGTCTGTGCTGCTAGTCTGTGCTATATAAATGTTAAAATTTAAGAATAACAGTTAGCTATGTTTCTCTATCATCCATCACACAGGATAAGTTTACCATTGAGTTAATGAACTGTCAGTCCGAGATGGGAGACTTCAGCGGGAGGATGAGGATATCGTTAGATATTCCACTATGGGTTCAGTATTTATGGCAGCTTTTATGTAATGAGAGATGAAGAAGGGGGGAGAGGAGGGAGCCAGGTCAGTAGTGGTGAAGACTGACCTCTGTTGTAAGGTCAGCACAGTAGAGAAGACGTATTGAAGGTTGCTCAACCTCAAAAATTATTAACCCAAGATGACTCAACAAAGCCCAATAGTAATGCTTATTTCAGTTGAGATCTCTCACTCTCTTGCATGTAACCCTTAAAAGCCAACAAATTCTTAGCTCCCCATTTGTTGCTACGTGAACAGGTGTAGCAAAGGTACGGAAACCCAATTTCAGAAGCGAAATCGTGTGCTCTAGGCTGTGCAGTGGGCAGTAATGAGAGGGAAGACTTGGTTACGCATATGTAGAGGAGAGAAAGCAACACCGTTATAAGCATAGAGAACATGTATGTACATCATGTCTCACAGTTACACATTCTTAGGGGTCTCACCCTCCTTGAAGTAGAAATAAACTGTAGTAGGCCGTCCTGTGGATGATATACTCATTGCTTGAACTGTCAAGTTAAGCAACGCTGGATCTGGTCAGCTACAGAATAGGTGACCATCTGTATACACCAGCGTTCTTGTCACGGAGGGCCTCGTCAAGCCACAAACTTCTTGCGCCTGTGACATGTATGTAACTAGTTTCAAGAGTTTTACTCTAGTAGACCGGTCAAGAGCTTATGGTCTGTATTGGCTACCTGATCAACCAGGCTGTTGCTGCCAGCGGCCCCAATGCCCACACAGCCCTCACAACCTGGCTGATCAGGAACGTCTTCCCAGATCTGGATAATTACACCAGAGATAAAGTTTGTCTGAAAGTTGACGTAAATTATACATTGTGAGTGAAGTGATTGGCAGTATATTATTATAGCCGTGAGGGAGAAACTAAACCTGTGGGATCATACAATGTTTGGTGAATGTGAAGCAATCAGGTTTTGATCCCAGAAAGAGAAGGGTGGCTCCGATTCCCTGCATCAGGAGCCCTTCACCAGCATTAAGGTGCTCCCCATAGTGACACACCATAATAGTAATAATAATAATAATAATAATAATAATAATAATAATAATAATAATAATAATAATAATAATCTGTATTTCTACAAGTACGTGATACAACTTGTACAGACCATAGCTGACATCAACGACATGCTACATAGAAAGTCCCTTGTTATGCAGAGCATTTCCAGCAAATTAGGTTTTATTCCCAGGATGCGACCCACACAAGTCGACTAACACCCAGGCACCTATTTACTGCTAGGTGAACAGGGACAGCAGGTGTCTTAAGGAAACACGCCCCCAGTAATTGCACCCGTACCGGGGATCGAACCACGGACCTGAGTGTGTGAGCTGAGTGTCCGTATACGACCTGCCATTGTTTTTTCCAACGATTTAAACCACAAGAAGTGCACCATGAGTTAACTGTTACCATCACATTCATTCCTGCTTTTACCATTGAGTTATTTTCGGGTTTACGTTAATTATCGTTAAAATACGTTAACATAACGTTAAAGAATGTTAACACAATATTAGGGAATATTAGCATAGCCTTACCTTAAAATGATAAATTTAATAAATAAATGTGTAGAGAATAAATAAATAAATGTAGAGAGAACCTTCACGGCACGCACAACAGCGATAAAACACCTCAATTACTGGGAGCGCTTGAAGTTCCTGAACCTGTACTCCCTGGAACGCAGGCGGGAGAGATACATGATTATATACACCAGGAAAATCTAGAGGGACTAGTACCGAACTTGCACACGAAAATCACTCCCTGCGAAATCAAGACTCGGCAGACGATGCAACATTCCCCCAGTGAAAAGCAGGGGTGTCACTAGCATGATAAGAGACAATACAATAAGTGTCAGGGGCCCAAGACTATTCAACTGCCTCCCAGTATACATCAGGGGGATTACCAATAGACCCCTGGCTATCTTCAAGCAGGCACTAGACAGACACCTAAAGTCAGTACCTGACCAACCGGGTTGCGGCTTGTACGTTGGATTACGTGCGGCCAGCAGTAACAGCCTGGTTGATCAGGCTCTGATCCACCAGGAGGCCTGGTCACAGACCGGGCCGCGGGGGCGTTGACCCCCGGAACTCTCTCCAAGTATACTCCAGGTATCTCTCTCAACGCATCGGCCGTATCCCACCGAGGCAGGGTGATCCAAAAATAAAAACAAAAGTTTCTCTTTTTTTAACCTTAGTAATGTATACAGGAAAAGGGGTTACTAGCCCCTTGCTCCCGGCATTTTAGTCGCCTCTTACAACACGCATGGCTTACGGAGGAAGAATTCTGTTCCACTTCCCCATGGAGATAAGAGGAAATAAACAAGAACAAGAACTAGTAAGAAAATAGAAGAAAACTCAGAGGGGTGTGTATATACGGTTGTACATGCATGTGTAGTGTGACCTAAGTGTAAGTAGAAGTAGCAAGACGTACTTGAAATCTTGCATGTTTATGAGACAGACAAAAGACACCAGTAATCCTACCATCATGTAAAATATATGCCCTGAGATGTGTATGTTGATCAGGAAATACTTGCAGCTACTTTTTTTTTATAGATTCAAACTTTCTTGCTCTGATTTTTACAATATTTCATATCCAATATATAATTATTATTATTATAATCATGGAGAGCACTAAACCCGTAGGATTATACAGCGCGTGGGGGGGGGCAAGGTATTCAGGCTCAATTCAGGGAACCGGAGCACAGATCCAATTCCCTAGATCAAGAGCCCCTCACCAGCGTCAAGGAACCTTCCTTGAGGGGAGCCAGTATATAAGACTTGGTGTGAGAGCGGGTATCGGGGGCCATGATCATAGTCTGGCCAGGAAAGCCAGCCATTGACTCGGTCTTCAGCTGGTGCCATAAATATTCATGCTGTGTTCTAATCTTTATTGACCTCCAGCGGGTGTGTACATACCTCACACCTGAGGCAGGCTGCTCAACGTACATTATTATTATTATTATTATTTTATACTGTTGCTTTGTTCAGGGTAAGCTATTATATGTCGCCATGTTGGTTTATTTAGGGTAAACTATTATATACTGCTATGCTGGTTTATTCATGGTAAACTATTATATATTGCTATCTAGAATTATTTTGCTATAGCGTTCACTCAAACAAGCTCAACTGTAGGTTTAAATATGTGTATTCTCATTGAGTTGTGCTGAGCAGGTTGACTCTCAGCTTCTGGCCTCGAGATTACTTTTATTGGCATTACTGTTTCCTCTTCCCTCTAGGGAATTATCACATTTACTCTTGAAGCTGTGATTTAAATTTTTCTCCACGACTTCCTCGTTTAGCATTTTTTTCCACTTTTCAGTCACTCCGAGAATCAAGACATCGGTGTCTTTAGCTTATACCTAAGTCTCTATGTCTCTGGTCCTCTTAATTAAAATAGTCTATAATTATTTGCCCTATAGATCCATTTTAAAATTTCGCATATCGTATGATGCGTGGTCCGCCGGTGCAGTCCCAAGGTGTATATCTTAATTAAATCGTGTCTTCCCCTGGTTCTTGTCTCCGTTTAAGTAGTCAGGTTCAGCTCTATTATCATGTTTTTATAATGTATTCTGAGTTCTGGGAGTTCCTCCGTTGTATATCTCTGAATATTTTGTCGAACTTCACAATGAAAGGACAGGAGGCGGCTCCACACTGGGGCCAGGCACTCAGTGGTCGGCTTAAATAATGGTGTGTATGTGTGTACTCACTTATCTGTACTCGCTTATGTGATTGCAGGGGTGGAGTCACAGCTCCTGTCCTCGCCCCTTCGCTGGTCGCTACTACGTTCACTCTCTCT